CGGGAATATTTAAAAATTGATATTAGAGGCTATAACATTCTTCTTAAAGTTAGGTGTTGGATCAGTCCTATTTCCGAACCTTATGAAAGGATTTAATTTCCTCTAAGGCAGTTCTGCAGCCCAGGCTGACTCCAATATGTCTAGATCACGTTTTTGCAAGAGATTACAGCGAATAGATATATTTAGCATGAAAGACGGTAAAAACTACAAGTTTACATATATATATGTGTATACACACACACACACACACACACACACACACACATACATAAAATCAAGCTAATTACAAATCTTCTGATCTATGTCCCACTGAGACCCAGCTGTGGATACTTTGTCGTAAAGCCACAACATCTGGAAAGAAAAGAAAACCAAGGCAGCTTTTAAATCTCGTGAGCTGGCAAAGGAGCCCTGGGTTTTCATAGCCGCCCTTCCTTGTTGGTGTTATTGCATTTATTTCAGTAAGTTTTAAAAAAGCAAGGCGTCCCACGATCTTTCGGTGGTTGGTCTATCGCTTGGGTTACACGGATTACAACACACACTAATATCCCCTGGGTCCATGCATCTCTAGAAGGTGTGTCTTATAGTGTTATATCTTTTTGGATTTGGAAGAACTTGGGATGGGAGCATTCTGTTCGTTATGGCCCTGTCACCACGGTGGTTCTGTCGCCTGCAGAACCGTTGGTCTGGTGAAGCAAAGAAATTTTATTTCATCATTTATGGGATAATATATTTTATTATCAGGATACTTAAGTTCTGTCCTTGATTTTGTGGATTTGAAATGCGACTTTGGGTTCGTATTTCTCTCTCGTAAGCTGGAATGAGACCTTCTTTTTCTTCTAAGAATTGTGAGGATTACTCGAACAATGTTTGTATCTCACCTGACTCTCCTGTATCCGGTCACCCCATGGCACCAGAGTCAGCGGAGGCTCCGGAGCCCAGCAACAGTGGGGGTGATGCCCCAGAGCTGGGTGTTGCCCCAGACCTGTGTGGTGCAGCGGCCTGTTAACCCATCCAAAACCAAGCCTGGGGTCCCCCAAACCTCTTTATCAGTCCCGTCGTAACCTGCGTGTCCTTCAGACAGTAAGTGGCCCTCCCTTTTAACCTACTTGTTCCGGCCCAAACCCTGGGACTTCCAGGACTGCCGTCCCCTGGTGTCCCGTCTGCACAGTATCAAGTCCTGTTGGCCCTCCCTTCAGTAAATGTTCTGAATCCGAACACTTCTCGCCATTTCCCCACGTCCACCCCTAGTCCAGCCCCTCGTCGTCTCACCTGGAGGACTGTCTCAGTGACCTCCTGATTCATCCCTCTAGGCAAATGCAGCCTCTTCCCTGGTCCCCTTGCCACTCCTGCCCCCATTCAGTACATTCTCCATCCAGCAGTCTGCACAATCTGATAATGATGCAGATCGGACCGTGTCCCTGCCCTTCATAAGTCCTCCAGTAGCTTCCCACCACGCTCACGGCTTGGGAAGCTGTCCCGGGCCAGTCCTGGCCTGCATCTGCCTTGACCCTCGCTTCGGTCTCATGGCACTGGCATGAACACGCCAAGCCCTTCCGCACGTCAGAGCATCTTTAGCTGCTGTTCCCGCCGCCTGGGAGGCTGTTTCCCCAGACCTTTTCAAGTTCACGCCTACCCTTCAT